GCGACAGCTTCCACACCATCCTCGTTACACGAGGTGCAACCATTGTGTGTGTGTGTGTGTGTCTCAATAATGTAGTCAATACCACTAATTCCAGGTCCAAGTCCATTCGAATTTTATCATTAAAGATCACCTGAAGATTACCACCCCCTCACCCTTGTATCGTTGGGCTGCTTAAAATTCACGTGCCTCACCATGAGGTAACTGAGACAATAATAATCCCATTTATTTGGATATTTTTAGCATTTATTGAGCTAATAACAAAGTGAGATATTAACCTTCTCGTATTTTAAAGATATTTCTCACTTTGCAGAGTCAGAAAATGAGACATAGATTTTCTCATTAATTTTAATTTATTCCTCACTTCTGACATTATAGCCAAAGAGAGATATTAACCTTCTCAGTATTTTAAATATATTCCTCATTCTCCTCACTACGACTACAGTGAGACATAAACCGCTCCTACTGCTTTAAGACCTGAGACATTAACCTTCTCAGTCCAGTAAGATCACTCGTCACTGTAACCAAATTGAGACATTAACCCCCCTCTCTCTCTCCCACACACACACACACACACACACAGTTTCTGGTTAATGTCCCCAAAGGCGAATTTGTGTGAGACGTTTAGATCAGTGGTGACAATCCATGGTGTTGTGGTGAAGGTGGCAACACTGACGCTGGCTGAGGGTGTGGTAGGTCATCACGGGGGGGTAGTGTGATGACCTTTTTTATGACCAGCCACCTCGTTTGACCCCGGAGTTTATTGTCGCTAGTTGATTTGCCGCTATACTTGAAGACCAGTTTCCGTGAAGGAGGAGTAATAGTTATATCTTTTGTGTGTGTGTGTGTGTGTGTGTGTGTGTGTGTGTGGATGAGTGAATACATCATTATGTTGGCTCTCTCTCTCTCTCTCACTCAATTATTAAGTTTTGTTTTTGTTTTTTTTATTGACTAATTTACCATCATACAGTGTTGGTTGTCTACAGAAATCACTGGAGTAAAGGATATATATATTTTCAACCGTATTTTACCGTATCTTAGTTTACCGTGTTGTATATATATATGGCACTAGGACGAGCAGCCTCTCTCCTGCCGCAGCTGAATGGATCTACCACATAAACTGCGGAAGGTATCGGTGCGGCACAGCGGGAGGCGATATATAGTACGAGATTTACCGAAGTAGAGGAGCTCCCCTAGTCATAGGTGGGTGTAAAATGAAGGAGAGGAGGAGGAGGTAGAGGTAGGAGGAGGAGGAGGGGTAGGAGGAGGAGAGGAGGAGGAGGGGGTAGAGGAGGAGGAGGAGGAGGGGGGGAGGAGGAGGGAGGTAGAAGAGGAGGAGGTAGAAGAGGTAGTAGGAGGAGGTAGAGGAGGAGGAGGTGGAGGTAGAGGAGGAGGAGTAGGAAGAGAAGCTGTTTAGAGTATGTGGGTTTTGTGGTCTCTCTCTCTCTATATTCACAAAGTCTGAAAAGTTAGTTTGATGATAAGCTGATACGACCTTATGTATTATACTGTACTCCAGATACACAGAATGATTTCGTCAATTAACTTGCAAATTCAGTTAAGTACACAAATTTATTCGGATAAAATGCAGAGGGTTTTTTTTTTTTTCCTGTGAGTTATGATACAAGGTCAGATGTAGCTCGTCGGGGTCACAGAAACATTGGTGAATGTGTTGTTGATTATGTGTTACGTGAGAGGTGGTTGGGGGTTAAAGAACTGAGTGACATAGCAGTTTAATGGGTCATTGGGGGTCAGGTTGTATCACTGTTATAGCTTCAGGTGAAAAAAATGGTTTTACAATAATAACATGATAACATTTCACTTTTATACCTTTGCTGCAGTAATGTCTGAAATCTACGAAGAAAAATAGATCAGGTTGTCTGAAAAAACTCAATCGCATTATACTGAATATTCCTTACCGGGGAAATCCCTCAAATACTGTAATTGAGCAGAGTTATTCATGATCCTCTTTGAGTTCCAATAATATTTGAAATACTTGAAGCACTGTATCAATTTTTCACCAGCAGCACTAAAGCGTCACTCAGTCGCTTCGTTTATAAATTGAAAGAAATTAAAAATGTACTACAGCTGTCGGATTTGTCCACGAACGAAATGTTGTGGGTATCATATATGGAGCCTTTACCATTGACGCATTCAGTCACACTCTCCACAACATCTTCAACACACAAACACTAATTCCAAACATCAAAGTCTTTTAAGATAAGTATTATTATTTATTGTCTCTCTTGTACACGAAAGATAATCAACGATGGTTCTTTAAAGTTATAGTAAACACGGAGAGACATCTGAAGGCGGGGTAATGGACTAAAGCTCACGGTACTTGGTTCCCGGCTCACTCGATGCAAGGCGTGGCTCGTTATGTGATCTGGCTATATGAGGAGTTTCAAGCATTGCTGGTGAACACTGAATAAAGGAAATAAAACACAAGACAAGTAACTGTGGAGGAGCGAAGTTAAAGAAGACAAAGAGAGAGTGATGGAAGTAAACGAGAAGAAGCAAGGGGACCAACAGCTATGATAAAAAGTATACTCGTAGACTCCAGTAATCCACGACCCTCACGATAAATATGGGATGGCTATGACACAGATTAACTAATAGATGGCGCCACTTTCTGAGTAATGAATGTAGTTTTGCAAGTTGGTTTCTTTAAGATTACAAATTATTCTGAGGTAAATCTACTTATTTCCGGGGATTTTTCGGTTGGTTTATAAGTGTGTGGTTGAGTTAATCTTGTAAGGTGATCAGGGTTATCTAAGACTGTGTAAAGGCTCTGTTAGTGCTCTTAGACGTTTAGTTTTAATGACAGCTTAAGATATTACACGATATTAAAGCAAGTATAAGATCCAAAGTTTAAGGTTCAGCTTATCCTGAATCTTGACTAAAGCCTCGAGCTGATGAAACTTATGCTCCAAGTCGAGTCTTAGTGTTGTCAAGACCCGGGCTTGTGTGTCTCTCTCTCTCTCTCTCTCTCTCTCCTTCCCGCCGATGGTAAGTTCATATAACTCGGTGTGTTGCCTCGCTGGAGCTCAACTCAGCACACTAACAAACTATTGTTCCTCGGGTCTGCTTAGCTCAGTGTCTCAATTCAGGAAGACTCGCTGCTGTGGTAACCAAATGGCCCCGTGAGTGGGTAGGTGGGCGGGTAGGTAAGATTAGGTGGAGAATAACATTACAACATCAGAGAATTAATGACTTGGAGATAAAAATTCCATCTTTAATTACTGGAATTTCAACCATGACTAAACAACATTACGGTCATAATTATGTTAACTCCTTCACTATACGGAGGCCACTTTTAATGTTTTATTTTCCTAACGGTAGACCATTTTATTACCCAAACACCTCAGATCACAGACTAACTCCTCTTAAGTGCTCAGTGTGGTGTCCTTGCCAGCCGTTCCACCACCCCAGATCTATTTACTCTTCTGACTCCAACCCTTCACGTAACCTTGAGAACTTTGATGAATCTCATTTTGTTGTTAACGATATTTCTCAAACTTTCGAGGAGTTTTAGCCTCATAAGTTTGTCCTTATTTCCGGTTTTCCTGTCCTTACTTTCGATTTTCTTGATTTTCTACTTTCTTCAATTTCATCCAGGTTTTCCAGGTACGAGTTTCAAGTAATAGTGTTGATAGTTCACGTGCTATTATTTTCCTATCTCTATTGGTGTACTTCCAGGCTCAGTTCTTACTCTTGTTTTTACCCCATGTTAATAATAGACTTAATCATTCCATCTTGTAACACACACACACAGTCTCTCTCTCTCTCTCTCTCTCTCTCTCTCTCTCTCTCTCTCTCTCCTATGCTACTTACCTTCCATGAATGTTTGTCCTGTCGCTCTTGTGTTTATGATCTGTGAAGCCATCCAGTTGTCCGCTTAAATGCTAAAACTCTCTTGAACAATAGATCTTGACTCCACAGCACAAACAGGCACTAATCTAGGTTCATAAACTCTTACCTTTTCTCATCAACAAAATCATTTTCAGGCTCCACTTTTAACTCAAAAGGATCACTTATACCAAACATATTTTCAGTCATCTCTCATGTATCCATTTATTCGTTATTGTAAAGAATGTATCCACAAAAATATGATTCTTCAGTCGGGTACAAATATGCTTTACCTCGGTACAATGTCTGATCTTTACCAACAACACGATCTGCCCCATAGGAAAGATTGTTCCTATGTGTGGATTGGTGTTCCATAATCTTATATGTACCACAGTTAGAAAATGTATTGGTTGAGGTAATTCGTCTCATCAACGACGAGTCCTCCTTTCACTGCATATGATCCAATGGTTCTTTTATGTTATAGATACTCCCATTTTTATTGCCGCCCCCTCCCCTTCTTACCTTCCCCTCGTACCGCTCACCCTCTCACCCCTCTCGTATCCCTCATCCACTCACCCCCCCCCCCACCTCTCTTCAGCTTCAGTCATTACACCTGTCATTATCCATCATACCATCCTTATCCATGTCGAATTTCATCTCCGTTCACTTCCTTCATTCCGTGTGCGTCTCGACTTTAGACATTACTTCCCTTATCAACATCTTTTCATCGACCTACAATCAACATTTCTATTTATGTGTGAGTTAGGGCGGCCTCTTATCACACATCCTTTCTTTTCCCTGGTGTTGGTAAGATAGACACTCCTTCAGCAGCTTATGTTTAAACCATTAGGCAGAAAATAGCATTATCAAGGAGTGAAAGAGAAAAAAACGTTGGATGAAAAATTTATTATGTGAGAATTTCATTTTGTCTTGAGACTTGGTTATGTTAGAGACAAAACTTTGGACCAAGTTATGAAAATTTGGCGCTACTGAAGAAAGTTGTTGAAAAAATAAAAGACAAGGAGAGAGAGAGAGAGTAAAGAATATTTGAAAGATAAAAAGAAAGAGAAAATAGATGATAGACTAAGGTCATCATTCCCGTCCATTCACGCCCGCTGTGTCCGTCCACCTCCACGCCCCTGCTGTTCCTCCACCTCCACGCCCCGCTGTGTTCCTCCACCACGCCCCGCTGTGTTCCTCCACCCACGCCCCGCTGTGTCCGTCCACCTCCACGCCCCGCTGTGTTCCCCACCCACGCCCCGCTGTGTTCCACCTCCACGCCCCGCTGTGTCCGTCCACCTCCACGCCCCGCTGTGTTCCTCCACCTCCACGCCCCGCTGTGTTCCTCCACCTCCACGCCCCCGCCCTGCTGTGTTCCTCCACCTCCACGCCCCGCTGTGTTCCTCCACCTCCACGCCCCGCTGTGTTCCTCCACCTCCACGCCCCGCTGTGTTCCTCCACCTCCACGCCCCGCTGTGTTCCTCCACCTCCACGCCCCGCTGTGTTCCTCCACCTCCACGCCCCGCTGTGTCCCTCCAGTAACAGCAGCAGCAGACTCCACCTTCATAATGGAACATTCACCTGTCGTGCAGGACTCGTCATTACCACCTTGTCATCAATTAGTCGCCCCTGACACCCAGCTCCCTCACCCCGGGACCCCAAATGGCAGTCATTTAGTGTCATTACCAGTGTCTTTGTCTACCTGGGATTACACAAAATGTCTCCAGGCGCGATACATCCCGGGGGAGAAGGGGTGAGGGCGGGGGAGGGAAGGAGGGGGGAAGGGAGAGACAACGTTGATGGTCGCGGGTATTCTCTTGGCGGCCATGTTGGTGTGGGGTTCCATCACGTCATCCAACAACAACTGATCAGCGTAAGTTAGAGTCATCTCCTGTGTCTTTTAATTCTTTATGATGAGACTGTGATCCAGTTTGGTGGTGAGGTGTTACTCTGATTCCCCCTCTTCCTCCTCCTTTCCCCGTCACTCTTTCTCCCCATCACTCTCTCCCCGTCACTCCCCATCCCCATCACTCTCTCCCCGTCACTCCCCCTCCCCGGTCACTCTCCCCTAACACTCTCCCCGATGACACACTCTCACACTCAAGACCCTCTTCCCGTGTCTGTAGACGAATTTGACACGGTAAAGTTTGGGTAAATATCCAAGCCTCTTTTTTCCCTCAGAGATTTGATAGATTTACTGTCGGCCTTAACCCACTGAGTATGATGAGATTTTTTTCCAGTTCAGCGAGTTATTGTTTTTTCTTTTCTTTTTTTCTTTTTTAACAATTCTTTGTATAGATCAAATCCCATCACCGCTGAACCACACAACCTACACTCGGTAAGCATGACTATCGATTGTTATGTGGGTAGTGATTGCAGGTACCGAGCTACAGTATATATGTACCGATACACTTCACTAAATATCTTCCTCCTTCGTTGTGTGTCTGTGTGGAACTTCGTCGTGGGAATAAGCGAAGTTGAAGTTGGAATCACGGCGGCCTGAATAAAAGGGAAGTCACTCGTGGAGGTATTGGGTAATTGTGCTTTGTTTGTGGTTGAGTTGTGTCCATTTTTCCACGTTTTTTCCAGACCATTTTTCTTCATCACCTTTCTTCCCTTTGTCTCTATCTCTCTCACGTGCTATCACCTTCCTCCTCCCAAACTTCCTCTTGCTCCTTCCTTCCCTCACCCCATTGATCTCCCCTCATTCCTTCCTTCCTTCCTCTCATTCAATACATTCCCCGCCAACCCTAACCCCCACCTCCTCTCCCAGTACTGTTTGGTTAGGTTAGGTTAGGTTAGGTTAGGTTATGAGTAAAAGGTTGATATATTAGGTTCTGGTGTAACGATTAAATTTTTATTATCTCTCTCTCTCTCTCTCACCACTTCCCACCCTCTCCCTCCTTCACTCCTCCACTTCCTTCCCTCTCCTCCACTTCCCCTCCCCCCTCACCCACACCTTCTCCACGTTCTCTGTCTAAACTTAAATTGTCCTCCCCCTGATCCGTCCAGCAAACTCAGTTAAAATGCAAATATTAGGACACATCCACTGGGCAACCCCCTCCCCCCTCCTCCCTCCCCAATACTCCTTGCAGTGAGAAAGAAAAATGCACAAATTGAGAATGAAGCCGTGAGAGGAGAGATGGGAAAGATAAGAGAACAGAGGAAAACAGAGAGAAAATAGATATTTGTGTGTATCTCTCTCTCTCTCTCTCTCTCTCTCTCTGCCTCCGCGTCCGTGTGTGTCCGTATATGTATGTGTGTAATATATATATGCCTTACTAAATAAATTTCAATTGATTATTATATATCCATTTGGGTGGAGACGTTATAGGACTCCCGGGCATTATTGGAACCTTGAAAATGAGACGTATATGACCCTATATATCGATAAGAAATACAATAATACTCTATAAAAACACTTAACCAATAATACAACTACAGCAACTACAGCAACAACATCGACTACATCACCTACATCAACTACAACAACTACAATAAACAACAATATCAACTACAGCAACTACAGCAATTACATCAACGATATTAACTACATTTAACTACAGCAACTACAGCAACAACATCGACTACATCACCTACATCAACTACATAAACTACAGCAACACTCCAATATACAACACCTCAATCTACAAAAACACTTCAATCTACAATACAATTCCCATATCCTGATCTTGAGTTGAATGGTGAAACAACATAGGGATCGTTCCACTCACACGGCCAATGGGTTCACCAGGAGAGCGAAGCTAACGCCAGGCGAAGCAATGTAGGAGAGAGAGAGAGAGAGAGAGAGAGAGAGAGAGAGAGAGAGGAAGAGGCGGTCCTAATGGAGTTATGTTCAAATTCTATTAGGGAGAACATAATGGTGTTAGTATCACCACTGTTGATACCCCAGTGTGTGTGGGGGGGGAGGGTGTGGATGGGTGTGGGTGGGAGGGGTGTGTGGGGCGTGGGTGAGTGAGTGGTGTGGGGTGTGTGTTATTATTGTTATAGTTATGTTGTTGTTGTTAGTAGTATCAATATTGTCATTATTCATGCGTCACATTTTACAAGTATAATAACAAAACAACACGATATCACTTTAAAACATTGTATCAATCCCATTACAATTTCTGCCATGATAAGCCTCGTTCAGTGACCTCAGCTTACTGTATATTGTAATTGTATCTCCTGGTAGAACTATATTTAGCTAAGGGAGAATAGAAGCTGGTTAGTAAATCTCCCCTCCTCCCTTCCCCCTTCCTCTCTCCTCCCTTCCCTCCTCTTCCCCCTCCCCCTCCTCCTAGTTAATTTATTACATCAAACTGTGGAGTAAATAGCACTACGATCACTCTCCCCTCAGTATTATTATTACACACACGAGATTAATCATATTAATAGCTGACCCGCCTCACCTCACCATCCACACCCACTCTGTGTTTGGGGTCTGGAATATCCGCATGTGGGCTCATATACACGGATATGTTGTTCCTTCTTGATGTTGTGGTTAGTTGTGGTTGTATTAAGAGTTCTTTTGGCTAGTATCACTGATCCTCACACAAGCAAGGTTGGTTGAGTCGATCAGAGTAGGAACTTGCAGGAGAGAACACGGGTTATGGTTGAGGAACGCGGTACAAAGGTGACGTGACAGAAATGGATCTCTGAAGCTGGCTACTAGCTCTCGGATATGGATAAAAATTGAACTAGAAGAATACGAAGTAAGAGAAAGAGAAGAAGAAGAACACAGAGGGGAGAAGGATAGGGAATGGTCCATGAAGTCGTTCCCGAACCTTTGGAAATTGCTAAAGGAGGAAGAAACATATTTTGATAAAGAGGGCGAGAAAAGATCGTTATAGACAAAGATATGAGAGACTGACTCCTAACCTGTGGGAATAACTTAGTGAAGACGATGAGGATGACACACTATGGGTTAGATTATATATCAAACATGACGACATTGGGAGAGAGAGAAGGAGGGAAGTCACCTGTAAATCCAGTCAGGTGAAGCCTATCAAAATGTGCCTCTGTGAAACCAATCAACCTTTTGGTATATTTTGACTACCTGACAAAATATACCTGTCAGTAAACAATCAATCTGCAGGTACAGGTGATATTGCAAACAGATTTTCCTTTCCTGGTGAACTGTGTGACCATCAGTATCCAATCAGCCTGCAGGCAACTAGCTATATGCAAGAGAAGTCTGCAACATTTCTGAAATTGTTGGATTAATCAAGATATGTTTTTAATAAGTTATGAAATACGATATTCCTGGGGAGTTTTTCTCTCAGGCTTCACGACAGTTACCAATCGGAAAAATAAAAGATTACAAATACATTTCCTCACCTTTCTCATACCAGGAGTCACTGATTAATAAAGCCATCATCGTGAATTCAAGGGGAAGATTTAACCCCTCCAGCTAGCCTCAACAGACAGTAAGGGAGATGTTTCTGTAATCATCACAACCGAAGTGAAATGTTACGTCCATATGTGTTGTTTCTCTGTTGGTAAATGAGAAATATTAGGTATAGATGTGTGAGTGTGCTTCTCTTAGTGCCACCAGCCGCTCTGTGTGTCGACTGGTCACCGATTCACTCTAAACTTATCCCAAGGAAACTTACTCTACATCTGTCCAACCCAAATTTAACCTAAATCATATCTCACTTAACCTAACCTAACCTAAATTATATTTGACTTAATGAAAACTAACTAATCTATATATAACATAATCTAATTCAATCCAAGTCATTATTACTTAAACATTATTAAAATTAACCTAAATCTATCCTAACTGCAATGTAACCTAACCTAACCTTAACTTACCCAACCCAACCCAACCCAAAATACTAAATTCCTCCTCCTGACCAGCTGTAATGGGTTCTTATATCGTTAACAAATAATAAAGGTATTCAAAGACGGTAATAGATGTCAACAAGTCACAGAAGAGGGCGATATTAATGTCACCGGTAGTTAGTGAGCCACTTAAGCCTGACCATAACGATGAGGCAGTAATTGGACGAGCAGTGTACACGACAGCTGCTGCTATACGGGTGTCGGTACTGGGGTGTCGTGTCTGGGTGTAAATTATGTTGGTGTTATCATCTTATGCTGGTGTGTGTGTGTGTGTGTGTGTGTGTGTGTGTGTGTGTGTGTGTGTGTGTGTGTGTGTGTGTGTCATGAGTATTACCATCATTATCACCATTAATGTCACTGTTGCCAGCATCATCATCGTCATCATGATGTAGTAGTAAAAAATCTCAAACGTATACCCCTCACGGTGGCATCACATACACAGACGAGTTGAAGAAGTACACATGAGCCGACTCAGTACACACACACACACACACACTCACCAAGTGCGTAACATCAAAGGAAGGAAAGTCTTTAACGAGCAGTAGGCGGCGCTGCTGGCGTAACCTCCTGAAGAATAATTGGACGAGAAACTCCTGAACATAATACAACTGAGACGACCTGTTACAAGATGGAGCTTCAGGGGGAAGTTTGTGTAAGAGAGAGAGACAGACAGAGAGAGATAGACGGAAATAAAGAAAGAGACAGAAAGAAAGAAAAAGA